TATCATCAAGCTGTGCAGTCGTATATATATATATATATATGGTTTTATAAAGAAATTATATCCGGTGAGGGAATTAGGTCAAAGGTGTGTATACATGAAATAATAATAGTAGTATGAAATGCAATTAAAATATTTGTGATTATAATCATGGTTTAACTTCAAGTGGCAAAATAATTAATGTCATATATAGAATAACACGTAAGGTGTATAGATGTTGAAAAGAGGTATATAATTACAGGATTAGTATGCGAATGTAAAGTGTTGAATAACACGGTGTGAAATTTGATAAGATAGAATTCCATATTGCAAAAATAAAAAGTATACAATTAGTATACAATTGGTGGATGGTGGCTAGCAGTGGAATCCAGGATAAAGCGCATTTCGTCCTATTTGGGACTCGTCAGCTGGATGTACCTGCATTTCTCAGTGAGTGATGATGTTCCCACCGAAGCTCGAACCCAGTACCCATAGTTTCGAACGCCAAAGCGTTATCCACTAGACCACTTGGGCCACGAGAGCCACCTCTTGTGCGACGGGTCATATCAGTTATTGAATTGAATTTTTGACCGAGACCGAGCACTTCGGTCCAATCAATCGACGGGAAAATCAAAAATTCAATTCAAAAATATACAAGTTGATAATTTTGGGTTTAAAATGTCAAGTGGGTCAAGTGGAAAGATACAGAGTGAGAATAGTAATAATAATAATCGTAGTAGTAATAGGGAAAAGTACATTGAATAACTAAATAAACAAAATAAATAGATAAATATCTATCCCTCTACGGCCAAGGCAGAAGTAGGGATTGTATATACTTCTTTTGTATACAAAGGTAGAGCTTACAGTTATGAAGTGCCAAGGCCTCAGCTGTCTTGAGAAGTCTGTAACGAAGAAAACGCAGAAAGTTAGCATGGATTCTATATATGATCTTGAAATCATGCTCAAGGTTGACCGAGTGACAGAAGTCCAACAGGTGTTCCAGAATACAGTTTCGCCCACACTTGCTTTCTCCATTGTAAAACCATGCTGAAATATGTTCTCTTATCTGTGTGGAAAGCGTCCTCTGGCTACGGTCAGTGTGCCTTGCTCCACAACAACAGGTGGACTGATATGTGCACATGGCGGCGGTCAGATAAGGGAGTTTATCTTCTACGGAGATGGAGAACAACTTGCGGCTGGTGAATCGCATTTCTAATTTTGCTGCAAAGAACGTCTAACTGATTGCTTTAGAGGGATGATTTTTGAGCATATCTGAAGCTTGATCATCTTTGAATTCCAAGTTCATGAAAAAGGTTTTCTTCGGAACTGAGTCAGTGACCAGTTTAAACTGCTTATGTTAAAACAATTGGTGGATGGTGACTAGCAGTGGAATCCAGGATAAGACGCATTTCGTCCTATTTGCGACTCGTCAGCTGGATGTACCTGCATTTCTCAGTGAGTGATGATGTTCCCACCGAGGCTCGAACCCAGTACCCATAGTTTCGAACGCCAAAGCGTTATCCACTAGACCACTTGGGCCACGAGAGCCACCTCTTGTGCAACGGGTCATAATAATTATTGAATTGGATTTTTTTTGACATGTCAACCTGAGACCGAGCACTTCGGTCCAATCAATCGACGGGAAAATCAAAAAATCCAATTCAATAATTAATATGACCCGTTGTACAAGAGGTGGCTCTCGTGGCCCAAGTGGTCTAGTGGATAACGCTTTGGCGTTCGAAACTATGGGTACTGGGTTCGAGCCTCGGTGGGAACATCATCACTCACTGAGAAATGCAGGTACATCCAGCTGACGAGTTCCAAATAGGACGAAATGCGCATCTTGGATTCCACTGCTAGTCACCATCCACCAATTGTATCCTAACTAAATGCCCAGACATCGTCGAAGCATCTGCACAAGAAGCCGACATGTCAACCTGAGACCGAGCACTTCGGTCCAATCAATCGACGGGAAAATCAAAAAAATCCAATTCAATGCTTATGTTAATGACTTATGCTTCAGTCATCATATATATAAGCTGAAATTTTGTAAGTTCTGCTCATTATAACCAAAAAAAATGTTTTCATTCACAGTGAATGAAAAAACAAAACGAGATTTTTTTTCAACTGATGTTTCGCCATTCAATACTACTAATATTTTTATCAAAACTAGTATTCCTTTGATGAGGCTATTAACAGAATTCATAAGCGAAACTTTAATAAAATTACCATAAATTTTTGTTTTTCATTCACTGGGAAATACATAGTTAAACTGAATCTAAATTGGGATGATGGTATATGGCGTGCCGCTAAGTCATTCATGTACAGATGATAATACTATGAACCAATTATTCAGATATATTTATTATAAATGTATTTCACTAGCTCAATAACCCATCTTAAAATACAATGGCTGGTCACTAAGGTTGTTATTAATATTATCATATTATTATTATCATTTTTCCCTTGTGTCCTGTGTGGAATACAAGACCTCAATGGAATGTCTCCACTCTGTCCTGTTCTCCGCTGTCCTCTTTTGTTGGTTCCAAGATTACCCAGAGTCTCTTATCTCCTCCAAATCCCCTTTGGATCAACGCTCAACTCGTTGTTCTCCATTAGGGTTTCACTTGCGAACTGGTGTGGAGTGCGGTGTCACTCGACAGTCTCCTCAGCGTGTGACAAATGAATCTCCACCTTCTTCTGTATATTGTCGATCAATAGGTTCTTGATTTGTTTTTTCTCATAATATATTGTCGTTAATTTTTTTCTGATCAGCAATCTGATGTTCAGCATGAAGCCAGCAAAGGTGGCGGCTATTGGTAAAAGTCTATAATGCCCTGTTAGAAACGCTTTCCATGAAGTGCACTCCAAGTTTCTGACATATATAGAATCGCTGACTGACTTCACATTTGTATTGAAGCGAATTCTAGTCTTGTTTTTATGCTGACTAAGTGCAGAAGATATCCAAATTGATTTTATGGTGATAAGGGTATGTATAACCTTTCCAATTCTACCTCCTTTAACATCCTCGTCTGTACCTCCTGAAGCTTAAGCTAAGCTTCCTAGATAAGTGAAGAAATTAATCTCTGTCAAATATCTCCTGTTAATAGTGATTGTTGCTGGTTGTTAATGCTGTTTGTTGGCTATCTTCATTGAGTCCATCTTTTCTATGTTCATCTGGAGTTCTATCTTTGTAGCCTACGTTTTCAGTTAGTTTGCTAATTTTGCCTGCCTGTAAGTCTTTCAGTTTATATAACACTAAACATATATCGTCCACTCACGAAATTCAGATTTTATAGAGTCTTCTTACTGCGCCAACGTATTCCTGTCTTCAAGTGTTGGTTTGTAGGGATTTGATTGGTTTCAGTATTTCATCATGAGCTGACATTAGTTAGAGAACCATTGAAAAACCACCTGGAAGTACTGGACAACTGTTTCCGTTGTCCTAGTTTGGGACTCTTCAGCAGTACGCACCCACCGCGAGGGCTCGAACCCAGGACCTTCTAGTTACAAGGCGAGCTAGCTCGTAGACCATTAAGCCACTGGGACCCGATCCAATGGTCCTTGAATTCTAACTTCTGCCAATTCACCACATAGCGCGACCGCTAGCCAATGTCTTCGGCGAGTATTTGTCCTCAAACCCGACCCGCTGCACCCTGTCTTCTCACCTCCTGTGTGCAGTCTGACGCATAATCCAGTCCACTGAAATCAGTAATATCATCAGTGATAATAGGCAGGCAGCCTTCTCTTACTCCTGTCTTCACTTCAAAGGATTCGTTGAATCTTTCGTTGTGTATCACACCTGACAAGCGGGACTGTCATACAGCTTTTGACTGAGGTGGATAAAAATCTTGGGGCGCTTCATAGTATTGAGGTAATTTTCAGGCTACCTCACCGTAAAGCTTGTCGAAGGCGTTTCCAAATTCGATGATGTTGAGGTTTGATTGTCATTCTATGCCAAGGGATTTGAGATACTAGATGATTACAGCAAATCAGCCGGGAGCCGTGGACCAAGTTTCCGTGCTTATTGACAGTCGTCAGTGCACAGTGAACAAAATCCTAGCAAAAACTAAATTACTTGACTCAAATAAGATAAGAAATCTAGAGAATAGTTCATCTATAGAACTGACTACATGCAGTTACACACAACCACACAAATAGGATGGGATAAAATGAAAGTTTTAAAATCTAATGTAACAGAATCAAGGGAAAGATTGATAACAGAAGCTTTGTTTATCGAATCAATTGCAAATACATGTAATAGGAATGAATGATTCAACACCTGTCCAGCCACATATCTGAAAAACTCTACTGCCCCTACGAGAAATAGGAGAAAACAAAGAAAACCATAAACCTCAAGTTTCAAAGTCGTGTGATTATAACTGATATGATTATGAAAAATCAATTGTGTTCGAAATGTCATCCAATGCATACCATTGTCCCACTGTGTGATGTTTGTATAATAAAAAAATTAACAAGGAACTAATGTTCTGTTCATTTTTTTATATTTTTGGTTAATGTATGTGAGTAGATTAATCCATATTAGTAAGATTTACACTTCGGCAATCACTTGGTTGGTGATGGTTACGAATAAAATGGCGGACGCGTTCCCCGCCCTCTTCATGACACATAAATTAAATCTACTTATTCTTCAGTCAGTGAGGGTTTTCGCAATGACTCTCGAACTCAGTAACCATCACTCCACTAGACCAGCAGGATACGACAATCATCTTTTAGACAATGAGTTTGAGTTGAAATGATTTATTTTACGTCTATAAAGTCCCACTGACAATTGAAATGATCTATGCTGAAATCGATTCTGGTTAGAAGCACCATTATTCACCGGAGAGCAAGTACATTCAAATGATGAATCCTAAGTGAGACGATTCGCGCGTCCTTAATTCTACTGTCAATCACCTCCATTAAAGTAAAATTGAAGAGTTAATTCTTTTAAATATTATGTTTATTTGAAATGGTAAATGTTATTCCCTTTTAATCTGTGTTGTTTTATATTTATTTTAAAGAAACTCAGGGCAGACATGTGTAAATACAAAAACTGAATCATGGAATCAAACGCCGGATAAATCTTCACCCAATTCACCTTTACCTAATCTTCCGCAATCGTCAGTAGCGAATTCACCTCAAATACCAACGACTTCTTCACCAGTTTTGCCTCTTCCTTCATTACCAATAAATCAATATCCTTCTCAGGAACATTATCAGCAGCAGCATTATTGTCACCCTGCTAATCATCCTTATTCCCATTCATCTTATGAGACAATAGTCAATGGAAATATTTCATCCAGACGAACTCAGGGAAAACAAAAATTACCGCCTTATCAGACACACCCAATGCCTTTTACTAATTGGGTAAGTCTATCGTCTATTCTTTGTATGAGTAGATTTCAACATTAGTCAACATTCGATAGAGAAAGAAAGACCAGATTTGCAGTATAAAATGTGATATCGTCATTCTATTTCACAGGTTCCCCTCATCAGCTAACTGTAAACCACTACCTGAAATTACAATGGTTATTAATAATGCCATTTCATACTTCATTGTTTGTTTGAAAGGTAATAGAGAAAACATTATAAGATGAACGCGCATCCGGAATATAAGTATTACAATTAATAGTTTAATTTACCATCACTTAATATACTGTCAAACTATGAAAAAAGAAAGAAAAAAGGGGGTGAGAGAAGACAGAAATCAGAAAAAATCTAATAAACAATATCGACATGGCAACTCAAGAAGGTTCATCAAGAAAGTTCATCAATTTGAAAGCTTGCTTACTGAGTTGAGCCCACTAGTGTGTTTGACTAATCAGTGTAATGAAAGTGATATGGTTGGTTACCAAAGGAGTTAGAGATTGACCATACTCTCTTTCTGTATGCATAAGTTTGGTCTGTGACGTTTGACTGCAATTACTTCAGCAAATCGTGGTAGATTTGCTGTCTTTTGTATGTTTAATATTTTGAAGGATTTGGAAATCTCGACAAAATGACCCATATCTACAAGGTGTCTGGTGATTGCACTTTGTGAATATCTGCTTCCTTTTGAGCATAAGTTTCTCGGAATATGCTCTAAAAACTGGATAGAAGCCCTTCTTTCCGTCCTTCCAATGTACTTGCTACCAGAGATACATGTAAATTTATAAATGCAGTTGGAGGTAACATCAGCTAGGTACTTACCCAGTTTCGATTACCTTATAGAGCATGTAGTACTGTATAGTGTCATCAGATTTGCTGCAGGGAAGCATCTCTTTATTGCTCCTTTCATCCTGTTGTCAATATTTTGCGATACTGTTTCTCCTTTGTATGGGAGGCAAATGAACACTTTCTTCTTTTCAACTGTTAGATACTTCACTTCCTCATCTCTTTCTTTGCTGTACTTTGGGATAAATCCTTTTGGATACGCGTTTTCCTTAAGGCATTTTTCAACAACGTTTAATTCTTCTTCTACCTTGTTAGGCGAATATAACTTCCTGGCCTTGTCGTACAGCGTCCTTGCTAATCCCCGCTTCCAGCTCATAGGGCAGAAGTGAAGGTATTTTCAGGTTCAAGTTTCTCTTCTTTAGATGAACTTTTCGACTGTTCCATCCTTTCTTTTTTTAGATTTAGGTCCAGAAAATTAAACACATCGTTTTGTTCATATTCCATGGTGAATTTAATGTTTAGATGGATCGTTAACCTTATAATGTTTTCTCTATTACCTTTCAAACAATGAAGTATGAAATTTTAATATTTATAACCATTGTAATTTCAGGTAGTGGTTTACAGTTAGCTGATGAGGGTAACCTGTGAAATAGAATGACGATATCACACTTTATACTGCAAATCTGGTCTTTCTTTCCCTATGGAAATTTATTAAAAGAACCAAATGTATGAAATATCTCTTTTTAAAAGATCTCATAGATGACGATTGTAAAATGATATCTTTTCGTGTGATACAGTTGTTCTGTGCAGATAAATGTTTGAAAATAAATAGGCTTTCTGAAAGAGTTCCTTGACAAAATATTATATTCTTAACATTACATTGAGATCCACTGATTGAATTCCTGACTTTTAGCATAGAACTTTGTGCAGAAGTGTACCAGTTTACCATGCTACACTCATTATAGGGCACAAATGAAGACGAAAGTGAGACTTACAGATAAAGAGACTCAGAAGAACGACAATAAGCAGAAATGGAAGGAAGAAAGAGCAGTAACACCAAAAAAAAACAATCGGGTTTTAATAGATACGGCAAATCACAGAAAGTGAATGTGTTTGCTCCAGTGAGAACTATTGTGAGACATATCATCAACTGTCTCCAACCAGTGGTTCTTAAGATCCTGAAGACTCTAACCAGGAAGGCGATAGCTAGGTACATATAACACATATGCCAATCATCTCTGTCGGCTTTGCTTCACAACTTCATTGACTGACTTCTCCCCCTCACCGGTATCTAACACTCGACACCCAATCTCAATTCTACTCACTCTGTTATACCATCTAATCGGGGAGACAGAATGTAGACACTTGTGATCAAAGACAGCTGGCTTTTTCATGTCTTACACATTTAGTGGCCAAAGTGTCTCACAGCCATAAAGGAGGATAGTGCCATCTGATGCAACGTACATATTTTCTTTTGATCAGTAGCAAGCCGGATATCATTTGTACGCCAGAGATGTCACAAGATGGCGATTGCCACAAGTGTCCTTTGCATCCGTGCTAAGATTTTGTCAGCAAACACTAGTATTGAGTGAATCAAAGTTTAGTTAACTTTTTTATCTTATCTATGCGTAAAAGCCAGTGTGAAAATTTCTACATGGATATTGTTACAAACCAATATCACTTAGAGACCCATAGAAAGTCAAGCGGCACCTGATAGCTATTTTGTCCCAATTGGAGATGCTCAATAACAGTATTATTAATAAAACCCTGGTAACTGGATAATTTCACCTCTCTTTCATCCGAATGTGAAATGCTAAAAGTTTCCATTGTGTTTGATTATTATTGTTCGGAATAGTGGTTAATATTGCACGTATGCATATATGTATATATTTTTAGTGTATGAGTATATTGATCGATTGATTTTTGTTTGAACTTAACTCTGTGCAAGTATGTTAAAATTGTTGTTGTAGGTATATTTAATAATGTCTTTTCCATGTAAGCAGCTGACGAGAAGGCAACGAAAAGATGGTACCATTTTATTCTGCTGAAACTGTAGTTTTTGCTTTGTTCAAAACCCATTAACTTCGGATTGTGAGACAAGCAAGTTAACCGTTCCTCTTGCGATTTTTTTTTGATTTACAACTTGATTCCACACTTTATTTTTGGTATAAGTATGGAATTTTCAGTATGGATATCGGTAGCCCAAATTTCGCAGGCCGACCGTAGATATCAGGTGTGCGTCGGCGGGGGATCGAACCTCGGACCATGTGCCTGGTCGGCGAGAGTCCTAACCACTGTGCCACCAACGATTCAGAATTCAATGATAGCTTTCTACAGCTCCTTGGTTTTCTGTGATAGTAAATGGTACAAGGAGTGTTAGGATTCAGCTTTCGTGTATGATGGAGGTGGTGGCAATTCGTCAACACAACCATGAAGTCTATATTCACAAAATTGTTGATTCTCTTATTTTACGATGGTCGTAATCTCTTCCCTAATAGTTCGCTTTTATCTTTAGTAATAAATTCGTCATTACATGTTCTTTTTGTACATTTTTTCACCATCTTCACGATTGTCAAGTGGATGCTCAATCACCACCTTATTTCCTATTAAATAATAATTTGAACCTTGTGGAATTTCAAACCCTTTTTTCCATTATCTCACTCCCTGTTGTTTTAAATGTTTTAAATAATTTCTATTTCGTTTTAGAACCCATTTCTGAATAATTTTCTCAGTTCCACTGAAGTGTATTTAATTTTTTTAATGATTCTTTAACTCATGTAGATTTGTGATGAAATCTCCAATGAAACTAATTTAGAATCTTACAAAACCTGAAGTCTGATTATCAGTCTTCTGCTCATTAGTGGCTACAAGAAAAGTGTTCTAACGTCATCATGAGAATTCGTGACCAGTCAAGTCTATCATGTCAGGGTGAATCCTCTGGCGGTAGCAGCATAGCGAGAAGTGACTGAGGTTAGAATTTATGCATAAATAAGGCCTGTCCCAGGGATTAAACGGTGACAGTTTTGCAACGAATAAAATCAACGTAATGTTTTCTGGACGTAGGAAAACCAATCTTTGCGTTCTTCAGCATAGCTTGCCTCAATTTCTTTAGGTTACTCGCAGTCACAAAATGGCCAAAAGCCAGCAATTGGACGGTTGTTTGAGGTTAAATCCACGGTGGTATTACAACTAAAAAGATATTCAATACAGTCCTGTAGGAGGTCAATCGTTGACCCCGGATTGCTCAAAGGTAACGTCTAAGACTGCAGGCGGCACTGAGTGACGCATATTCGAATCTCAGAAGGGACACGAGTTTCTTCAAGTTTTCAGATATGCCTTGCTGACTGGTGAGTGCCAAATATCACTAAACGTAGATCGAAGGTCTCCGATCAACTGTAGCTGTACAGTTACAAACCGAGTGCTTCATAACAAAATTACTTAACCAAATCAGTCGTAAGTATTACCTTTGAATCAAGTAGAGTATTCTTAACAAGGTGAAATCAAAATTCCGTCTACAAGAATCCCATGCCAAACAATTCCTGCAGACAGTCCAATGTCAGAATGACCTTGACCCATTTAAACAAAATGACATCACAAAGCAATAGACATTTTTTATTGTAGCTTGACTCCACACAGTATTTTTGGTACAAGTATGGAATTTTCAGCAGCCCAAATTTACCAGGCCAACCACTGGTTTCAGGTATGCATCAACTGTGGATCAAACGCCGAACCATGTGCATGGTCGAAGAGCGTCCTAACTGCTATGCCGCCAACGCATAGCTATTTTCGTATTTGTGATGATAGTAATGTCAAAAAAGTACAAAAAAATGTGAAATGTATTATTATTATTGCTCCCTTGGGTTCCTAGTGGAACATAGGGCTTCAACTGCACTTCTCCATTTTCTTCTGTCTTCTGCTATACTTTTCGCCTGCATCCATGTTAATCCATATTCTTTCAACTCCTCTTCACACGATCTCCTCCATGCCACATTTGGACGTCCCACACGCCGCTTCCCTTTCGTGTTCCACTCGAGGGCTTGACGCGCGATGTCACCCACCAGCCTCCTCAGCGAGTGTTCAATTCATCTCCACTTTCTCCTGCATATTTGTTGGTTGGCGATTGGTTCTTGTTTTGTTCCTTCCCATAGTTCCCTGTTGGTGATTCTTTCCGGCCCGACCATCTGATCTTCAGTATTGAGCGAAGACAGTTGTTG